ACTCATCAGAAAGGAAGTTTCTTTCTTTTGTTTATCACAAAGAACTCTTTATTAGAAAACCTGGATTCTATTTCCTTCATATTACTTAATAGTCTTTTATCTTCTCTGGCCTCCCACAGCCTTATCTTTAAATAATAAGCTAAATAATACCTCCTTTGCTTAAAATTTGAAAATGTCAGGACCTTAAGGGTAGGATCTATGCCTTATTTGTCTTTATCCCCAGAGGTAGGCAGAATTCCTACATGCCTAAAGTTGAATAGGTTGATGAGCCACTTGCTGAATGATTGAAAGGTCAGGGTGAAACAGGTGTTAGGTGACCTAACCAGCAGAAACTGGACCAGATAATTGAGTAAACTGTTAAGATTGAAAAAAAAAAAAAAGAAACTTTAGAGATCCAGATGAACTATCACTACATAGAAGTTCTTTTAGGTTTAAGAACATGGGATCTTTTGATTCCAAATGACTGAAGACCTCACACAAATTGGCTGAAGCTCAAAAAGAAATTTATTGACACATTGATGTGTCTTGTTTCAGGGGTTTGAACTTCATAGAGGGCCTAGGGTTCTCTATTTCTCTACTTACCTTCTGCCTGATTGGTTTTCTCATCAGGCAGGCTTCACCCATTGGTGGCATACTGAATATATTTGGATTCAAGCTCATAGCCTCACAGCTGAAAAAGCAGTGGAAAATAGGGAGTGTTACTATCTCTCAAAAGTTCCAGGAAATGTGTTAAGGTTGTATATCCCTGGCTTTATTTGGATCAATTGTTCATCCTTGATCCAAACACCATGGCCATGAATGATACCAATGCCATCTAAAATGCACTGACTGGGAATGAGGGAGGACTGGCTCTCTAGATGCACATGTGGAGGAAGGTGGCAAAGACATGAATTATCCAAAACTGCTATGGTCCTCTCTCAAGAATATGCTCCAATATGGTAATACAAATTGAGCATCCAATATTAGGATGTTTGTGAATTCCCTGAAGACTGTCCAGGGACCCTAACATAGGAAGAGAAGATAATTAAGCTTAGTCTCAGTCTCTCTTTCCAGTGTATGACCTTTTCCAGATACTAAATTATTATTAACATTTGCATTTCTAAGATGAAAGAATATGTGCATTAAGAAAATCTTTGTTTTAGAATAGCTTTAGATTTAAAGAAAAATGATGAAGATAGAACAGAGTTCCTATACACCCCACACTCAGTTCCCCCTATTGTTAACGTCTTACATTGTGGTAATGGTATATCTATAACAATTAATAAATCAATATCAATACATTGTTATTAACCAAAGTCCAAAATTTCCTTAGTTTTCACCTACTGGCCCTTTTTCCCTTCCAGAAGCCTATCTAGGATACAACATTACATTTGATTATTACATCTCCTTATGTTCCTCTGGGCTGTTAACATTTTTCAGGCTTTTCTTGTGTTTTATGACCTTGACAGTTTTGAGCAGTATTTGGCAAATATTTTGTAGGATGTGACTCAGTGTGGCTGTGTTTGATGTTTTTCTCATGATTAGAGTAGGATTATATTTCTTGGGAAGAAGACCTTACCTCAGAGGTAAAGCACCATTTACACCACATCACATCACATCAAGGGTGCAGACCATCGAGGTGACTTATTATCTCTGCTGATGCTGACCTTGATCACCTGCCTGAGGTCATGTTTGCCAGATCTCTCCTCTCTAAAGGCAGTCTTTGTTCTCACTGTCTTTATTGGATGCTTTGGAAGAAAGTCAGTATGTCTAGCCCACACTTAAGGAGTGGGAGTTATGCTCCTTCTCCACATAAATTATTTGGAATTCTTTGGGGCAGAAGATTTGTCTCTCCTCCCTCACTTATTTATTGATTTGATCACTGTATCAGTGTAAATGTTTATTTTATGCTTTAAATTATAACCCAGTACTAGTTCATTTTGTTGCTCAAGTTATTCCAGCTTTGGTTATTAGGAGCTCTTTCCATTGTCTCTTGTGTCCTTTTAATGATTGTACCATTGTGAGTTTGTTTATTCATTTATTTATTTATTTACTTAGTGAGCACTTTCGTGCTTTCTAGTACAAGATGTTCCAGATTCATTTAAGTATTTGCTGTCCCGGTCCTAGAAACACCCATTTCTCCAAGGAGCCCTGGTTTCTTCTATTGGAGAGTGGTATTTAGAAACTAATATTGGGTGCTAGGTGTGCTCAGTATGTACATTTTTAAAAGTAAAATTATTCTAAAAAGCAAATAACTAAAAAACCAGTTGATTTCTCTCATAGTCCTTCCCATTAAACGTAAAGCCTTCTAAATTGTTTCTTCTGTTTTTCCCCCTTCCATATTACTAATAATGTGTTTATACTGGTATTGTTTGATTGATCACTCTGATCACCCCCTATTGATCTCCTATAAGGGTGAATTGGGTTTGGCTTTCTTGCACCTCCACTCCCCTTCCTCTCTGCCCATCTTCTCAATGTATTCATATCACAATTTTGTGTTTATTTTTTTAAAAAAGATTTCTATTTATTTATTCATGAGAGACACACACACACAGAGAGGAAAAGACGTTAGCAGAGGGAGAAGCAGGCTCCATGCAGCACTTTTCTCCTAGCCACTAGCATATGTGTAAATGTGTGCATGGATAGTCAGGTTGCACCTATATTCTTTTGTCCATGTGTATTGAGGGGTTTCCCACCTACGTGTTAGCATCCATGCATGTGCTTCTGTATGTGAGCATGTGTGAGCTGTGCATGAGCTACAGTCCTCCTGGCTACTGTGCAGCTTATAGTAAAATGCAATTAACTCTCCTCATTGGCAGCTATTCAAACACAGGCTCCTCATTGGGCCGAAGGAAAGCTAGACTACAATTGGGCTCTGCAACCTTTACCTGATTCACTTGGTTCTCCATCACTCAGAACTTTGTTCCCTTTACCCTGATCATGGAGAAAGAAAAGCAGAACTGCAACCATCACATCAACCATCACACAGGCCAATCAACCATCACATAGGCCAAAATCATCATTAGAGTTTACTAGACAAGGAAAGAAGAACTCAATAGAAGAAGCATACTGTGGCCATGACAGGATGGGCTCAGGTAACAAGGAAACCCATGATCAGGAACCAATTCTACCACTTTGTAAGTGAGGCCACTTGATGGGGAAGAGCATAAAAGATAATTCATGAACCAGGTTACAAGGCTGGACTCTATAGATTCAATAATCTATCCAAGAACCAGTTAGAGGATGAATCAAATCAACTAGGTGCGTTTTCTAAAATAGACTTAGGGGCATCCGAGTGGCTCAGTCAATTGGGCATCCAATTCAGGTCTTAATCTCAGGGTTTTAAGTTCAAGCCTCATGTTGGACTCCATGCTGAACATGGAACCTACTTAAAAATTAATTAATTGATTAATTAAATAAAATGGACTTAGATCATCATCATTGGTTACTGAATGCTTAGCTATATACCACACACTCTGCTACATGATACAGATGTATTACTTAATTCTCACAACCCTAAGAAATAGATAATATTTTTCCCATTTAACACATTAGAAAACTGAGGGAGCTACATAAATTACACTGAAAGTTAAGAAGGTGTGAAAAAAAAAAAAAGACTCAAGCCCAAGTTTCTCTGATCCCAAAACCCATGCCCCTAATCACTACACCCTTCTTTGACCTGTGATCCTTAGGGTAATACAGCCATGAGACCACCCATACCCGTGACCAGCCAAGTGCCACCCAGCCCCATAGAGGAAATTTAAGAATGCACAAATGCTCTAGATTTAAAAAATAGTTCTCATTTGATTGTAACCAGTCAAATGAGTCTCAGACATTCAACATTGTGCAGAGTAAAAGTTTTGGTGAAAATACAAATATTGGATGAGGCTCTGGACTCAGAGAAGCTAGAAAAACAAAAGGAAGGAATGAAAATAGAGAGACTCAGAGAAAACCTTCCCATTGAACTATGGAATCCCCTTCCTTGGAAACCGGGGGATTTAATCTCTGGATAAACTGAATGACCCCAATAAAACACAAACATTGATATTTAGGTGTCCCCCAACAATATGAACAATTCACTGTCAATAACGTAACCAGCGCATGAGCCTCAGTCATGCATGCAACACTCCTGATGCCCAATTGACTGAGCCACTCGGATGCCCCTAAGTCTATTTTAGAAAACGCACCTAGTTGATTTGATTCATCCTCTAACTGGTTCTTGGATAGATTATTGAATCTATAGAGTCCAGCCTTGTAACCTGGTTCATGAATTATCTTTTATGCTCTTCCCCATCAAGTGGCCTCACTTACAAAGTGGTAGAATTGGTTCCTGATCATGGGTTTCCTTGTTACCTGAGCCCATCCTGTCATGGCCACAGTATGCTTCTTCTATTGAGTTCTTCTTTCCTTGTCTAGTAAACTCTAATGATGATTTTGGCCTATGTGATGGTTGATTGGCCTGTGTGATGGTTGATGTGATGGTTGCAGTTCTGCTTTTCTTTCTCCATGATCAGGGTAAAGGGAACAAAGTTCTGAGTGATGGAGAACCAAGTGAATCAGGTAAAGGTTGCAGAGCCCAATTGTAGTCTAGCTTTCCTTCGGCCCAATGAGGAGCCTGTGTTTGAATAGCTGCCAATGAGGAGAGTTAATTGCATTTTACTATAAGCTGCACAGTAGCCAGGAGGACTGTAGCTCATGCACAGCTCACACATGCTCACATACAGAAGCACATGCATGGATGCTAACACGTAGGTGGGAAACCCCTCAATACACATGGACAAAAGAATATAGGTGCAACCTGACTATCCATGCACACATTTACACATATGCTAGTGGCTAGGAGAAAAGTGCTCAGCACATTTTATCATACATCCCAGATTGAGGGAGACCATTCAGGAGGGGGGAAAAGGAAGATTATGAGGCAAAAAGAGAAATGAAACTAAATGATCCTGCCCCGTCAGCATTCACTGGAGTATAAGAAATGGACTTGGAACAGACAGACAGACTCCTGGGCCCTGCCAACAGTCAAAATGTCCAAAGGGCCTCTTATTCTCTGGCTGCTGATTGAGCTCGGGCGGCTTTTTCTGAGTAAGTGTTCTGAATCCTTCCATGCAGGAGTCTCTGGAGAGCTTGGCATCCCCTGATGGGTTTCCATGGCTGATTGGGCCTTGGTAGAGCAGTTGCCTGCTTCCCTCATGCTTCCCTCCAGGCTTCCTTCTTTGGAGGGTCTCTCCCCTTCCCTGTTACACAGGGTTTTATCCTGACACCAGTTTTGGAGTTTTAGGATGGGATAATCTGTGTTCAAATCAGAAATGACCATTTAAGAAGAAACACAAAATAAGGGGTCAGATGAGATGGGGAAAAGAAATTTCCTCTGCAGATGTTATTAGCACAGTCAGAGCCAGGGGAATTTGTTCTGTAGGAGCTCTTTATGATAATTCTTATTTTCCTCTTTATTTTCAGGAGTTGTAGTTTGCTTTCTGTTTGTTTTACTTTGCTGGGGATGAGGCTTCAAGGTGAAGTTTCTTTTCTGCACATTTTTTTTCCAGTTTTGAATGATGCAGAGGTCTGCACCCATTTTGGGCCACCTTAGACTTCTATGCCCTGGCAGCATAGGGCAAAATGCTCTGCATTGAGCTGCGGTTGTGTCTCAGTCACTAATCGTTAATGCTGGGAACATGTGGAAATTGCTCTGGCTCTTCTGTGTATGAAATGAGAGACTCAGATAAGACAAGTTTGAACAATCCATGACCCTAGAACTAAACAGTATCTAATGTCCCTAGCACTTTTTTTTTAGCACTTTTAAAAGTTCATAGTTATTTGCACGTGATCTTTCAAATGTGCTGCGTGAGAAAACACCAACATTCCAAGGAAAACAAATGTGTTCTTTCTATCCTTCAAACCTTTGCCATGCTGTTATTTTCTGCCTTTCTTTCCTCTGTAACTGCATGCATTCTCAGGTCTCCACCCAAGTAAGGCTTTTCCTGAGCATCCAGAGCCTCTGGAAGGTTTAGAGTTTAGGTGTTTCTGCTCTGAGTTCCTCTCTCCCATGGAGTCACCCATCAGAGATCTTGTCGCCCTGTAGTAACAAACTTGTCACCCTGTAGTAACTGATCACTTAACTGCCTCTCTCCCCCAGATACTCTGTAGGAGTTAACAGAATGAAGGCAGCCCCTGTCACTTTCTTTATTAGTGTCTTCACTGGTCTTTATCTTGTCCCGAGTAAGTTGAGGTGTGGTTTTATTATGCTAAAGTTTGTTGGAGACTATGTCCACGTTCCCTGCTACTGGTCAGACACTGATTGTGTGGGCTTCTCCAATCCTGCCTGAAGGAAGCAGCACCTTCAGAGAGAATGGTGTGTTGTTCATTTTTCATTTGTGCCTTTGCTAAAATGACCAATGTAGAAGAGACCGCTCAGAATCACCAAGGATCAATCAGGGCTGGATGTGCTCTTAAAAGATGTAGAAGGAGGGGCGCCTGGGTAGCTCAGTTGATATAAATGTCTGCCTTCACCTCAGGTCGTGATCCCAGAGTCCTGGGATCAAGCCCGATGTCAGGGTCCCTGCTCAGTGGGAATCTGCTTCTCCCTCTTCCTTTGCCACTCTTCCCCTTGCTTGTGCTCTCTCTCTCTCTCAAATAAATAATAAATAAAAATCTTAAAAAAAAAAGATGTGGAATGAAACACTTTATAAATAGTGAAACTGAGACCCAGGTTGGTAAAGGGTCTTTCTAGAGGTCACCAGCTGGAGAAGGAAAACAGCTGACACCAGAATCTTGGTTGTACCTACCATCCTGGGCAATTTCTTTTTTTTTAATTTAAGATTTTATTTATTTATTCATGAGAGACACACAGAGAGAGGCAAAGACACAGGCAGAGGGAGAAGCAGTTTCCTGCCCAATGTGGGATTTGATCCTTCCCAGGATCACGCCCTGAGCCAAAGGCAGACGCTTAACCACTGAGTCACCCTGATGCCCCTCCTGGGTAATTTCCAAAGATGGGCATTGATTTGATGCCACTGATCCCTCTGCTCCAAAATGCTTTTGTAATGGCAAGCAACAGCTTCTTGTCCTATTTCTAAATTCTGAAATGCCTGGTTACTTGTACTAATACTTTGTTAATTTCATGTGGCATTTGATACTTCATTGCATGTGAACCTCCGAACTATTTCTGAAGCAAATATTATATATCCCCTTTGTCTTTCGATGATAATGAGGTCAGGATTATTGTGGCTTTCCTCCAAGAACACAACAGCAGTATCTGGCAGAATGAGGTTTACAATGTAAGCTCAATGAGTGTTTTTCTGCCACACCAAATTGCCCACTTCCTTTTTTTAATATTATTTTTTAATCAGATCAGTAATATAGAAATACCCTTAATGAAAAATATAATAGCCATTATAAAGCTAAAATTCCTTTGACTACTACCTCCAGCCCCACTTCCTTTCCTCTGACCACAGAGGTGACTGGTACAATGAGTTGAGTGTATATCCCACCAGACACACTCTTCTTTTCTTTATTTTTTAAAGATTTTATTTATTTTATTCATGAGACACACACACACACACACACACACACACACACACAGGTAGAGGGAGAAGCAGGCTCCATGCAGGGAGCCCCATGTGGGACTCGATCCCAGGTCTCCAGGATCACACCCTGGCTGAAGGTGGGGCTAAACCGATGAGCCACTGGGGCTGCCCTCTTCTTTTCTTTAAATTCAATTTGCCACATATAGTATAACACCCAGTGCTTATCACATCATGTGTCACCAGACACTTTTCTATGCATTTACCTTCATACGTCTGTGCCCACAAAAAAATGCAAATTGTTTTATTTGTGTAATCAGATGTTTTTTATATTTTATGTGTTGTTTTGAATTTGCCCTTTTCATGCATTAAAAAGGTTTGGAGTTTTCATGTCAACCGATATAGATCTCTCTACTTCCACTAACCTTGGAGTGATTACAGGGAATGAATGATTCATTCACGATTCCTTGGGATGCGTATGCCAGTTTTGCCATTCCCCACGCATACGTTGTTCATTTCCTTCACATATATGTGAAAGCTGTAGCAAACATTTGCAAACAGGTTTCCTTGTGCAGGCGTGTTTTTCCAGGGTAGATAACAAAACACAAAATCGCTAAGGCTTACCTCGGATATGTGCATGTTTAGTATTAATGGAAACTGCCAGGCTGCCCCACAGTGTGGCTATACCAATTAACCTCCCAATTCATTCCAGTATACTCTAGTAGCCTATGTCATTTCCTAGATCCCTGTCTGGCCAACCTTGATATTATTGGCATTCTAAATTTTTGCTAGTCTTAGAGGGGAAATTCCTGGCTGCACACATTTTCTCATCTATGCCTATTCTGTCTGCTGTCAATTTTTCTAACTGGTCTTTTCTTACTGAGTAGTAGGATGCCTCCTTCCGTACAGTTATACTGGAAAAATAAACTGTCCAATTTCTAGCAGAAACAATTCCTGAATGTATTTGCTATTAATTTTCCAAATATTCATTGGAACAAGCTCATATTATGGGAGTTGTTAGTGTTGGGAGCATATGTTCTGTGTTGCTAATATAGCTGAAGGTGATGACAATGAATTTCTCATTTATTTTTTTCCTTGTTTCATGGTGGGCAAAAGGCACTTCCAGAGCATTTATGACCATTGAAACATTTCTACTTTAATGAAGTGAAGAAACTGTGGTTTCAGGGAATTCTCCAGGCTGGTCTGAGTTTGGTGACTCTTAGGGTTTGTGCTCATCTTCTTCTAGAGAGGGATATATGAGCATCCCTGACACCTGGGTCAGGGGAAGAACCTGGTAGTGCTCGCCATGTCTTATACAACTTAGCCAAATGGATCCACAAAATTAGTGAATGGAGAGTCTCACAGGAAGATTCCTCGGGGAAAACAATAAGCAGGACCTAGGTGCTTCAGAGGGAGCAGGATGGAGTCCTGATGAGCTTCAGCCTGCCTTCCATAGCATTTTTGGGGGGTGAGGGGATTAGAACAATTGCTGATGCTCAGGTAAACCAGTGGACTTAATATTTGCCACAGCAAAAATGTTTCACAGATTCTCAGACATGGAAGCCACGTTAGAAGAGCTTGTCTAGTGGTCCTCAAGCACTGGGTGAGTAGCAAGCTACATCAGAATGACTTGGAGAATTTGGTTATTTATAATTTCCATAGGTGTTGGCCTCAGATATTCTGATTCAGGATTGGGCAATAAAATTTGCATTTTTTTAGCAAGCTCCCTGGGTCATGCTGATGAGCAGCCAAAGCTGGGAAAGATAACTACTTCATTTTAGAAATAGTGATACCTTTCATCTCACACAGCTAATTTGGTAAGACTTAGCTGCCAGCATTTCTGTATGTCACAGCTGCCATTCTATCTAATTCCTGTGGTCCCTTCCAGTTTTAACATTAAAAAGTTTTCATGCTTCACCTAACTATATTCTTTTTTTTTCTTCTTTGAGGATTTATTTTTTAATAAATTAATTTTTTATTGGTGTTCAATTTACCAACATACAGAATAACACCCAGTGCTCATCCCGTCAAGTGTCCCCCTCAGTGCCCGTCACCCATTCACCCCCACCCGCCGCCCTCCTCCCCTTCCACCACCCCTAGTTCTTTTCCCAGAGTTAGGAGTCTTTATGTTCTGTCTCCCTTTCTGATATTTCCCACACATTTCTTCTCCCTTCCCTTCTATTCCCTTTCACTATTATTCATATTCCCCAAATGAATGAGAACATACACTGTTTGTCCTTCTCCGATTGACTTACTTCACTCAGCATAATACCCTCCAGTTCCATCCACGTTGAAGCAAATGGTGGGTATTTGTCGTTTCTAATGGCTGAGTAATATTCCATTGTATACATAGACCACATCTTCTTTATCCATTCATCTTTCGATGGGCACCGAGGCTCCTTCCACAGTTTGGCTATTGTGGACATGGCTGCTAGAAACATCGGGGTGCAGGTGTCCCGGCGTTTCATTGCATCTGAATCTTCGGGGTAAATCCCCAACAGTGCAATTTCTGGGTCGTAGGGCAGGTCTATTTTTAACTCTTTGAGGAACCTCCACACAGTT